TCAAAAAGCACGTCACCCACCAACCACCAACCACCCGGAGAACTCGGACGTCCTCGATCAACCAGCAGCGTTCGAGTTCCAGCCGAGTTCAACGGACCAGAAAACCGCTGGTTTATATCACTTAAACGCGGTTGAGCCAGCAGACACTTTATACCTGCTTGCCGCTCACACCGCCGGTGGCCCGCGGTTCGTCCACCACGCTGGTTTGGCCTTTAACCGGCGGGGACGCCGCGGGACCCGTGCGACGCGGTCGAGGAGCTCCGACCCCGCCGTCCTGTGCACGGAGCTCCTCGCAGTCGGCCAAGGCCGCCGAGAGCTCTTCACACCTGACCGGAGGCGCTGACGGGCGCTGACGACGCTGACGACGCGCGCTGACGACGCTGTGAGACAGGAGAGCGTAAGCGTGGTGCGTGGTCTTGCGGACGACAACGAGCGTGACTGGGCAGCTCTGGCTTCAGGGCTTTCTTTTGGGAGGATTTCCTGGAGGAATTACGCACTCGAAGGGTACTTAGGGCCAAGACTTGAGGCTTGCTTGCGCCAATGTAAATCAATGCAATCCCATGCAATCCCTAGAGACCTAGATGCTGAAATCAGCTTCATTCAGTTTCACCAGGTCAGGATAGGTCAGGACATTGATTCATGGCCAGTTGTTTTCACCCAAGAATGCATTCTTCAATGGAATGCCATAGGTTTCAGGCGGGATCCCATCACAGCTGCACTCCCACACCATCCCACACCTGTTGGTCAACTCCTTCACCTTTGCATTAGCCTTCGCCGCACTCTGGCCTTGGATCTCTCGGGTGAAAAACAGGTGAGGTGGATGAGGTGAGTAGAAGATATCAGAAGCACCTGGTCCATCAAAAGGTATCTGTTTTCAGAGTGGCGGCATGTAAACATTGTAAACACAATCATGAGTGTCAAAAGGGTCAGCAATTCATGCGTACAGTACCGAACGCAAAAGGGTCTCAACTCGGGTGGAATCCAGAAATGGCCGAAGCATTCCTGGACATCACAAATGGGTTTTGAATCCAAGTGATGCATGCCAACAACCATGTGAGCCGGATTCCGGAACCCCTAGAAACATCCCTGTTTTTGACCCCAAAAGAAGAAGAAGAGGAGGAAGAAGAAGAAGGGCAAACCATTAATAAATCCTAGTGAATCAAGTAATATGTTGCTGATCTCTGAATCACCCTTTGCATTTCTTTGTCTTTATGTCTTTGTGCCCTCATTCGAAAACCAAAATAAACTCACATCTCAGCGTCGAGAGCGCTCCAGCTCCGCCTCCCACTCCTGCTCTCTGCACTCCACCTCCTCCAGCTTTAACTTGCTGGCGGCACCTGCAAGTTCCAGGGAAGTCAAGTTTCAGGCGTCCAAATGGCCCTTTGCAGGGCCAACCCCTCGATCTGGGGCACCATGTTTTCGAAACAGCCCCACAATTGTATAGATGTATGATGATGTATGTATATGTATAAGATATTACAAGCATGAAGAACCACGACTCCAAAAGTTGAACGCCAATGCCGGCCACCTTGACGTGCCAATGCCGCGGCTGCCCGAGCAGAGGCCTCCATGACCCGCTGCAAGGGGCCACCACAGGCGGCATCCAAGGGAGGGCGAGGAAGTTCCTGCCCAAGTGCAGGATGGTGAATGGGTGTTCTCTGTGGGGTGTTGAATACTGGGATGCATTCACTGCCCTGCGCAGGGTAGACAAATCGACCTGTAAGAACTGGCGGCTACATATATCATACATATATATATAGTATAATGTACTGATTCTACAATAATGTACTTGTTGAATATGTTGTCAGTCATCGCTGTTGGTTGCCAATGCCACCCTGGACAACGAAATTCCAGTAAACATAGGAACACTTCGATGTCAAAGATATGTAAGTGTGATTGTCATCTAGTCTCATCATCTACAGATCTATATAATATGATCTAATCATTGGTTGCTTGTGGACAGTGCCTCACAAGCCACACGCGTAAAAACAACACCAACTTCGGACGCACATGCTTCTCCTGGTCATTGGAGGCCGCTGAAATGATCTGCTCTGACCACTTCTCCCACTCCTCTCAGGTCCATCGTCATGGAAAGTCCATCCGCGATCTGCGTGTCCCACTCTGACTGCACCAAGTCTGATAGCAAAAGAGGCAACTCGGACATGTCAAAACCTCAAAAAGGAATCAGGACATGGGACATGACGTGACATAACAGCCAGGACATTAGGCCTTTCAAACGTCCCCGATCTCACGACCTGAATCGTCAGACCGCCACCGAGGAGCATTCGCTGAAATATGTTGAAATCCAATTTGAGGTCACTCTGCTTGAACATGGGAAAACCACCTTCCAAATTCTTCCAAAGGGGTTCATGTTCAACCTCTTGAGTCGTTATTTCTACCAGAAGTTGTGACTTTTTCGTTGTCTCCGCGAACTTCCACCTTCGTATGCTGGGCAGCCTGGTGGGGCTCTTGCTTTGGAACTCGCCTCTCCTGACACGCTCTCCAGGCCAACTCCTCTGCCACCGTGGCCACCGTGCTCGTGGATTGGGTCGACTCGCAGGACAAGTTCGCAGCCTTGCGGCCGCCTGACCCGCTCGGCTGGAAGCCACTATAGAAGAACCCGAAAAGGAGCTCTATAAGACTCGGTCATGTCAGATATTTTATGAGTCACCAGTATGACATGGGTCAACTTCCGAGAGGTGTCCCTATTGGGGCCTCGTCCTCTTGACGGGCCTAACTGCCCCAGCGGGCACCGGGCACCCCATAAGCCCCCAGCGCCCCCGCTAACACCCGCGAGTGTGGCGGTAGCCTCGGGCCGAGAAAGAAATGAAACATCCACGTGCTGCGTGGCGTTCCTTAATCTCAAGGGGGGTCTTGGTGACAAGCGCCCCACAACCAGGCGCGCAACTGAGGCTTTATGTATCTGCTGCAACGGATGTCGGAGAAAGAATGCCGTGTCATACTAGACTCAGACTTCCAGACATGCGCGTAATTCACAGTCAGCACAACCATGCTGACCGGACTTGGCCTGGAAAAGCCTGTATCGTCACACCATTCGCAGTTGAAACTAGTGCCACGCATCTTCATTTAATTTGCGCACACCACTTTTGCGAGAAACCTGATTACCGGAATGGCCTGACAAAACCACCTGGGGTCGCCGAGGGCACACCGAGGAACATGAGGGAGGCAGGGACAACCACACACACATTGATACCAGGCTTGGATTCTAAGACCCCAGATACGCACCAAGAAGCACTCGCGGGTGAGGGCATAAACCTTGCGTAGCCCGTGAGGGCTACATCGGGCTACGTCTCATGACTGGTCAACGGGCCGTCAACGGGCCCGATGGGACGCCCGGGCCCAGTGGGTAGTTGACCCGAACGAACTTCTCAGAAGTGCCCAGCAGCTGTTCGGAGTGCATTGGAGATGGTCTTAGCTGATGATACCAGAATTGATGATGTTTGAATCATGAATTATGATTTGTATTTTTGTTTTATAATAACAAACACAAACGAATCAAAGATCCCTTCAAGGTGTCTTTTCAATTGAACCTCCCCTTTGATACGCTCCACTTGTCTTGAAGCCCCCACCCGCGCCTTTGGTTGAGCAGGCCGAGTTCACCGAGGAAACCTCCCAGAGATGCTCTGGCGAAGCGATGGCCACTGCGGCCGCGCCGGCCGTGGCGACCGAGTGGGTCGTGGTTGCTGTCTTCGTCGCATAGCCCAGCTCCTTGAGGCTTGGAGTGTCACCTGGGCAATGCTGGGCTCCCGGGACATCGCATGGAAATGCATGGATGTTCTATGGTCCAGCTGCTTTTGAAAGATGACACGCAGCGAAAGCCAAGACGACCCACTCCCCCTCAAGGTCCGTCCAGGTCAAGGAGTCCATGTTCTCCAACGATTGCAAGCCCCTTAGCATCCTTAGCCCGATGCTGTCGATCCATGGCTCCATCTTTAAGCCTAGCTTCGTTTCAGCTTGGACTGCCGCGCTGCCTGGTCGTTGCCCGCTGATCGGGGGCTAGCATCGCGACCGTCGCGGCCTGGTGTTGAGAAGAGTGTGTGACAGTTCCTGAATGGATCTGAATGTCAAAGGTCCAACATTAAAGCATAAAAATATATAAAAATCATTCAACACACCATGCTGAGCATGATTCTTTCAATTACAGTGTTATAGCTGTTATACCCCAGCCATCCTTAGCCACCCTCTGCCTCCCTGTGCGCTCTGGCTTGCCACGCCCGTCCGCGGCGGCGTCGCCGCCCGCGGCGGCGTCCCGCTCGGCCGCTTCGCCAGGGCAGCAGACAGCGCTGAGGCGCCGGAGCCGCGTTGACGGGACGAAGTCCGCATGGGATGTCAACGCAATGGAAGGTTGAGATGTTCTTTGTGTCTCTGCAATGAGTGAGAGAAGTATTATCTTAAGATTGCAATGGGCTGGGGTGGGCCGGGATGGCCCGGGATGGGCTGAGGTTGTGAACAAAGTCGATGAAGCGATGATGAGTCGATGGGGCGTGGTTTCAGATCTGTCGGGACATCCTGGTAGGAACAAGTGGAGAAACAAAAGAAAAACCCTCCAACGTCCGAAAGGCTTAAGCTAGAATTTCCCGGTTGAGGGGCTGCAGCAACCTGCTTTGGCAGCTTTAGCCATGCTCCAAGTCTTAAGCCTCGCATTGCGGGGCTGGGATTGTTGAAGTGACAGGAATTCGTTGAGGCGTGCATCCGAGAGGGGTTGTGTGTCCTTTGCTCCTGTGACACAAGATCTTGAGCTCACGGCATTCGTGCAGGCGGCCGTGCTATGGAACCCTTTCATGGATTCTGGCGAACAAGGTCTGATACTGCATCGAGATGCGTAAAAGGTTGCCTTCAGCGTTTTCGTTCGGTCACACCATGGCTTTGTCGTTCGTGATTCGTCCACAGCTCCGAGGATGTCAAAGGGTGCCCTGTACTCCGACGGTCCAAGTCAGGTCTGCCTTGGCAGGACCCACCTCCGCCCTATTCCCACCAGCCTCTTGGCACGCCCGACTCCTGGAGTCGAAGGCCATGTTCACAACACACCATTACCCGTCACCCGACAATGAAGCTCTCGATAAGAAATGTGAAAATGCGTCAGGAACACTCTTCAGCAAAAGGTTTCATGAAGACTATGGGTTCTTCGAACCATCTTCACGACTGAGTCAGTGGGACTTCGCAAACAATGCCATTTGTATCCATTTGTCCTGCACACAGGCTGAAAAGGCAACAACAAACCACCAAATCGTCCCAAACCCGTGGAATGTGCAGCTCACTTCGTCGCTCGTTCCCAGCCGGTCGCTCAACCCGTCCTCTCCGCCAAGCGCTTCTGCCAAAGGTGCTCCAGGCGGTGCTGGGCGCGCAAGGCCTAGAGGCCATGAACGATCCATCAAAAGAAGTACATAGTAACAGGCATTACTACGAGTAGCAAATAGCTAAACTAGTAGTTTCTTGTTGCTAGTAGTAATGCCCCTTGTTACTTGTTTGATTTTGTTTGATTTCTTATATAGTCTAAAACACAAACATCTGAAGAACATACCACTTTAGATAGCCAGCCTGGCTGGCTGGACTGCCTGAATGATCCTGAATGCCATCCTTTCTTTTTCGGTGTGGTATTTCAAGTGATGTCGGAGTGGATTTGAGGCCATGCAAAGGGAGTGATTTATGCATGATGATGATGATGATGCATGTTTTACTGGCTCCCACAAGCATGCACACCTTGCAAAGCACACACAAGCAACCAGGCCTCTGGAACATCTTTTCGCGTTGCTTCTCCAGGCAACGCCATGGGCTTGGCCATTGCCTTCCTGGCCCCCACAATGGCGACGATTGGAGTCTGCAGCGTGGAAAGCATCTGCAACAATCCCATCGAACACTAATCCCGAGTACCTATTAAAAAACGGACCCCTATTAAAAAAAAGTCTGCCGGATCCCCCTAAATACGGTTTATATTTTTTTAAATTACCGCCCTTTCAAGCCGCTACTAAACTACCAACATTGCCGACTTTGGAGTTTTTTTTATTAGGTTCCAAAAACAACCGTAACTGCCCACCTCTGTCCGCCCTGTCTATCCACCATGACACGCCGCGCTTACACCAGCAGGCTTTCCTTCCCCCAATGGCACGGACTCACGCAAACGCACTTGCCACCGAGGTCATGCAACACCGCATGGCACAGCGACATCACCTTTCGAAAGCTTTAGCTGTTAGTCTACTGAAGAATCACTATTCTAATGAAGGTTTTTGTAGGGGAAAAGGAAGACCCTTCGATCTGGAGCTTTTTTGCATTTTTGATACGAGTTTAATAAATGATTTTATATAAAACTTTACTGATTTACTTTTTGGTTTTGAAGCTCTTCCCAGGTGACCCTATTTTGGGCCCCCCGATTTCAGGGACCCCCTATTAGAAAAAATGCGACCGAGGTTTCCTTATTAGGGGGGGGGGGGTACGTGTTTTTTATTAGGTGGACCGGATTACTGAGTTTCATCGATGTTTCCCAAGCTGCCAAGTGTTTTTTTGGAGATGAAACTGAAACAATCCTCACACTGAAGTGCCCAAAAATGCCCAAAACGGGTGCTGCGTTTTGGAGATGAACCTTTCCCCTTTCTCTTGACATGGCCGCTGTGGCTCATGTTCGAGCCTGGTTTTCTCTTGTGCCGGTGGATTTCAGTGGCAACCTGTCGTTGCATAGAGCTATGCAACTACTTCCTGTCAATCGAGGTGCACTTTGGCCCTATAGATATTTATTTATTGCTTCGGCCATCGGCCCAAAAGGATGATTCATGAATTCTCCAATCTGTCAGGAATTTGGTGGCCGATGGTCTCTGGGTCTAAGTCTTGACATACCCAAATAGGGGATTCTGTCTGCCCTTCGGATTCCGCCAGGCGCTCCACGAACGTCCACCGGCCACTGGGAGCTCCCAGCAGCAGTCGCAGGGCCCGCAAGGCGCTCGCCACTGGGCCGCCGCGGTCGGCACGGGCGCCCGCCGCGGCCTGGTCGGCCAGGTCGGTGGTTTCGTCTTTGAATCCTCCCAAATCCGACATTCATCAACTGTCGCTGCCACCCGACTGACGTGATGGCCTGAAAAACCTACAGTAATATAATAGTGATGCCCTCCAGCCGAATATAGCGATGGCCTATAGCATGGCACAAATCCCAAATAGTACTAGTAACAAGTGCATCGCTACTAGCAACAAGGACATTACTACTAGTAGCATCTAGTAGCTAGAAGATGCACTTGTTACTAGTCGGCATGCACTTGTTAATAAGCCAAAAGTTCTGGTTTTCACATCTTTTCACATCTGGTACATTGGCTTGCCAGCCACTCTGTGGAACTTCTATCGGCTTGGCTTTTGTGCAAATCGCCGGGCCACCGGGCCACATGCTTTGGCAGCTTTTGGGGCGGCTGTGGGGGATGGAGTAGCTCCAGGACCGTGGCCAAGTGGAGGGACCTGCAGCTTTGATACAACCTGACAACCCTGCCTCAAATTCCTGGTCCCTGCAAGTATGCAAGCATTGACAAGCCCGACAAGCCTGTAGATAGATAGTTGATATATTTGGCCTTTATTGTCTCATTCTCCGTGGGTCTGACCAAAGAAACTGGACACGCTACTGGTGCTACCGCTACCGGAGAACATGTAGTTCACCTCTCCCGACGTGGCAGGAGTTAACCCCGGTGACTATCTTCTTTATGAGGTGAACTTACAGGGGTTCACCGGGGGTGTCGGTTGTGCATGTCACAACCGCATGCACAACCGGACGCACCGAGAAGATCCAGGAGGAGTACTGCCAGTACTGCAACCACATGGTTTTGCAGAAAAACTCAATTTGGAACTGCAGCATTCTCTCAGGTCCGTTGTCTTCAGACTGAGGTGCTGACACGAAGGAGGATTCACAGTCACTGACCCCCACACTTAGCATGAGTGTGTCCTGACAGTCGAGAATCTTCGTCCAAATCTGTAACACCTTGATGAATGTAACATGTTTCGTTTTTAAATTGAGCGCGCCTTCCGAATAAGGAGTGAGTGCCCCAACCAATGGGTATTCATATATGTAATTATGACGTTCTTTTACTGCAGGTCTGTGGAGGAAGGAAGCTCGTGGGTTGTAAAGGACGCGTGAGAAGCGAACTGAAGGGAAGATACCCTATGGGCTACAGGATCTTCTTTAGCGGTCTAGCGAAAGGCTGAACGAGACAGTCTTCACTCCAAGCTTTAGAGCGCTGGCAGGGTGGCAAGAAAGGTCCTTCTTTGCTTCAATCAGTTGCACCCTCTACTTCTCAGGTCTAGATATCGATATCTGGAAGATTCATGGAAGTTCGTCATCTGTCATGGCAGCGATTCCATCGCTCTTGGAACATACCTTGTGATTAATGGCAGCTACCTTCAACTTGGTGTCCCAGGGCAATTCCGGTCATGCGAAAAACGTCTCACGCCTCTCATCAAAGTGTTTCAACTCCGAACAGCGAAGAGAAACGGGGCCTGATCCTTCAGCATCATGCCTCCGCAAACATGCGCGCAGTCCAAAGTCCAAGGCAGGTGTTTTTGTTCACATGCGATCCAAGCCCGAAGACGACGCTCCAAGAACGAGCTACTTCATTGTTCACAACAGAGTCAATCGATCATCTCAATTTCAAACAACTTGGAGATCCTTTGGAGATCCGAAGGGTCCCATCTTCACCTGGAGAATCCGATGTCGTTTTGCACCCTGAGAATCCAAGTGACAGCCAGGTGTCGCGAAGTGCTTCATTACCCTCAAAGTATATACAAGCCCTTTGGCATGGTCAACTCTTCAGGACTAGTTCTTGATTCGTTCCGTCCAAGCGGTAGCCGAGCAATGGACACCATGAGATATTCCAGGTGTGTCCATTCTTTGTCATATCAAGCAGCCACAATGTCAATTGGAGGCACCCGTGCAAGTGTATTCAAAGAAGTAGTCAGCTCTTGTGGCAACAATAGAAAACTCTCCAAAGTGATTCGCAAACCCCAAGGTGGGTCATAATGACCATCCATGATTCCCACATTCACAGGACTGCCCCATATGGGGTTTGCCGCAACTTCCCTGTACCTAAAGCTGCTGAAGAACCCCGCCTGAGACGAACTGCAAGGTCTCGCAGCCCTCTTGGACGTCCGTCTGCCACGGCACTCCTGGTTTCGTCAAGTCGAAGGATAGGAACACCGTCTGCCGGCTGTCGCAGGCGGTTGAAAGGCTTTCTTACTCACATGCGCAGGAGATGCGCAGGAATTGTTGGAGAGAATCCAGAAGGTTGTGAGACCAGGGCCTCCAGTGGAGAAGGGGGAAAAAACACCGAGGGTCGAAGAGAATGGACAGTTGAAGCATGTCACAATGGCATTGCTCCAAAACCAATCAAGAACCCCAAACCTGTAGGTTGACCAACCAACAGGCAGTTCTGACTCTACTGGGTTGCCACCTGTGTGCTCCACAGAAGTCATACTAGTACTACTGCATAATTACTACGTACCACGTACCATGTGTCAAGACACTGGTTTAGGACTGCTCACAAATTCTGCAAACGTGTCAACACTCAAAACGTGTCTTCGGTGTCTTCACGTGCCCAATCCCCACGAAGACGCCGACCTTCGACGCCGACCTCCGCCGTGTCCGGTCCGGCGTCGGTCCTGAGGCGCCCAGGAAGTGAAAACAAAGCTCGGGAGAGAGGCCAAGAACCTGCCGGGGTGCTGTCAGATCGGGACATGGAAAGCACATGGAAAGCACATGGAAAGCACCAAAGTCATGAAAAGTGTCAGTCTCTCTCACCAGTGAAAGCCTGGGTGGACCTGCTATTCTACACAGGACAACTTAAAAATAATACAAAAGTGCCAGCAAGACAGTACATTGGATATCCATATAAGTAGTAACAAGTGCCACGCTAGTAGTAACAGGTGCCTTACTACTAGTAACAATAAAGCTAGTAGAAACAAGAAGCTAGAAGTAACAAGCTGATGCTAGTCAAAAGAAGTTGAACTCTATGAACTACCCGCTCCCAAATGAACGGAGCACCCAATCTGCGCCCGGTTCTGGTGGCCCTGGATGGGCGCCCCGGGCGCCTCATAAGGCGCTTCCAGGTTGCTCACATAGAAGCGGTGTAGGAACACGTAGCGGTTGAACCTGAGGGAGCCGTGGAAAGGACGTGTGAAGGACAAGTGTTGGTGTGGAATCTGAGACTGGTCACTGAACGCAGCAAGACAACCAAGCTATTTGATTAAAATGCATTGGGGCTGGAGTCTTTCGAAGCTAATAAATTAGGAATCAATTTTACATATGTTAAGAGATTTTAAGAGTATGCGTATTAAAAAAAGATCAGGTCAAAAAAAATAACATCCTCTTCCACTGATCCTCCCAGGACCACTGCTCATGCGCAACATCCTCCCGCGACAGGCACCGGCCACTTTTCTCCGATGTCTGGCGTTGCTAAAGCCTCGCGCCGAGGAACATTTTGGTGTGTTGGCCAGTGAACCTGAGCATCTCAGGCGACACGTGGCGGTGATGACAGTCGAACATCTGTATATAGAGCCACAAATTACAAGAATCTCCAGCATGGGTGATCCTTTTGCCAAGCTGGTCTTGGAAAGTGTTTGCCGTGACTCAAGCTTGAAAAGCATAATTTTTGCTTGATTCGTGGCTCATCAAGATTTAATAGCGGTCTATCGAAGCCATCAAATAGACCGCATTGGATTTGTAGCTATTCAATTGCAATTGTGGCCATCTATCTCTTACTGCTGCTCCTTCATCGGTGCGCCGTACGTACGACACGTGCGAGGCTCTGCCGGGCGATGCTTGCCAAATAACAGCATCAATTGGAGGGGGATGCTCTTTGCCTTTAACACACAATCAAACACCTGCTGCTACAAATTCAGGATGTTTTTGTGTGATCTTCTTATTTTCGTTCTGTCGGGGTGGCAAATGCCATCAAATGCCATGCCATGATGATGTCCCTGTCCACTTTCCTCATTCACGGAGGAACCAAGGTTACACCACCGGATTACAAACACTGGTCAGCTCCGGTCCAAACACCTCAAAAGGGAACTGGTGTTGATCCTCGCTCACCATCCATTTTGGGACTTTTCGCTTTGACTCACAGCCGTTGCTCGATCAGCAAACACCAAATAGGTAGAGTGGTAGACCGTTAGACCAGTCTACACATTGACATCTGACTTGCAAACGATCTGCACAGTAGTTGCATATGTTGCAACAGTAGTTGACTGACGCACATTGGACAACTGAGATTTCCACACAGTCTTGTCACCCGACTTGATCGTCCTCGGTAATCGCTGTCCCGCCCAGAATGGGACGACGGCTGGTTCGGGAGCTGCTTCACAAGTCACAGTAGGATGTTATACACTTCTACATCCAAAAGGCCCTAAGAACATGTTGTAGCAGTTTATCATATCAAACCTGATGCCTTGGTATCCCCTGCACGTCACTCGGGCCGAGCTCAAGAAGCCTGTGGAGCACGTTGGGCATGTCAAGTATGAGTATGTTCATTTCGTGCATTTGACCCGAAGTCAAAGGAACAAAAACCTTCTATGTAGAACTTGAAGGATTTGTCAAGCCTCGGGTTGCCAAGACATTTGCTGCAACGCTAAACGCCCGTACTACACTGTGCAAGGATGATGTAACGAAGGTGACACAGGCCTTTGAGAAAAGTCAGTGCGCATCTGGGCCCACTTAAGAACGCCATAATTAGAACGAAACCGGCTCCAACGAACCCTGGAATATCCTACAACACCTATCAGAACTCATTACGTACAATAATTACTAATTACAATATAGAATATAGAAGATTTGAAGTTGCCGAGGAAAGCACCACACTTGTGTTCCGTGGGTTGCTCTCTTCCTCGGTATACGCGCAATATAGATGTCGGTCAGGACCCGAGATGGTCTCATCAGTCACACCGAGAAGGTCGCCAGCGGCACCCTATGGCCGAAGCACATGGAGGTGTAGACCAGGGATTTTCCGGCCTCGGTCCACTGCGGACTCTGCTGCCCAGCTAGACTCGGACGGAAAGCAAGCGAGCATACGTGCGAGTCAAGACGAGTGCGACGCCTGCTCATGATTCCGTCACCCATGGGGTGGCAATGAACATTTTAAGATACCAAAGCTATGAGTAGGTCATATATATTATATATCCGCCGACCCCTGCCGAAGCAGGGGGAGCGCGTCAGAGGAGGTATGCTTGCACTATGCTTGCGCTACAACCTCAAACCCTGCGCCAGGTCAGGATAGCAGCCAGAGCTCACGGCCTAGCAGCAGGAACCATGTCAGGATAGCACCCCGGAGCTAGCTTGGTTCCGAAAGTGCGTAAGGACTGGCCGCACCTCAAACCCTGCCCTGCGCCAGGTCAGGATAGCAGCCAGAGGTCAGGACAGCAGCCAGAGCCCATAGCAGCCAGAGCCCAGGTCAGGGCCAGGGGCCACGTCCCAACCCTGTGCCAGGTCAGGGTAGCAGCCAGAGCCCACGGGCTAGCAGCCCGGAGCTAGGGGCAGCACCCAATCCCTGGCAGCTGTTTTCTTGATTGATAGTTTTATATTGGTTTCGAAAGTGACGTTAGGACTGGCCGCACCCCAAACCCTCCGCCACCCCCAAAACCCTGCGGCAGGAGCCATGTCACAAGATAGCTGCCAGAGCCCAGGTCAGGGTGAGGGGCTCCTTAACCTCAAACGCCAGGTCAGGATAGCAGCCAGAGGTCAGGACAGCAGCCAAAGCCCACGTCAGGGGGGGCCACATCAGGGCTAGAGGGCCAGCAGGAGCCATGTCACAGGATAGCAGCCAGAGCCCAGGTCAGGGCCAGGGGCCACGGGGGCCACGTCCCAACCTCAAACCCTGCGCCAGGTCAGGATAGCAGCCAGAGCCCACAGGCTAGCAGCAGGAGCCATGTCAGGAGAGCGCCCCGGAGCTAGGGGCAGCACCCAATCCCTGGCAGCTGTTCTTGAGTGATAGTTTGTTATTGGTTCCGACAGTGACGTTAGGACTGGCCGCACCCCAAACCCTGCGCCACCCCCAAAACCCTGCGCCAGGTCAGGACAGCAGCCAGAGCCCACGTCGCTACAGTTCTCTAGTTCCTTTGCTCCTCTCACCATGCACAATCATACTCTCGCCCACCCGGGCCCACCGTCGAGGCTAGTTAGTGCAAGACTCATTAGCGCAATTGTTTCTGTTTTGTGCCTGCGTGTGCGTGGACAGTGAGAGACATATATCGCTTCAGCTATTTGCAGTACATTCGTGCCTCTCGAATTGTTCGCAATGCCTTCCGACTGCGCAATCCCTGCCTCCAGTTCCCTGCTTCCAGTTCCCTGCCTCCAGTTCCCTCCTTCCGGGTCCCTGCCTCCAGTTCCCTCAAGCCTGTTCCCTGCGTCCAGTTCCCTTCCTCCAGTTCCCTTCAGCAGACCCCTGTGCCAGTTCCCTTTGCCCACTCCCCTGCCCACTTTCCCTGTCCCGGTTTCCCATTTCCCAGTCTCTGCCTCCAGTTCCTTCCTTCGGGTCCCTGCCTCCAGTTCCCTGGAGCCAGTTCCCTGCGTCCAGTTCCCTGCCTCCAGTTCCCTTCAGCCAGTCCCCTGCTCCAGTTCACTTTCCCTGTCCCCGCTTTCCCAGTTCCCAGTCTCCAGGTCCCTGCCTCCAGTTCCCTGCTTCCGATTCCCTGCCTCCAATTCCCTGGTCCCAGTTCCCTGCGTCCACGCTTCCACTTCCCTGCTTCCAGTTCCCTGCCTCAAGGTCCCTAGAGCCAATTCCCTGCGTCCAGTGTCCTCTGCCCAGTTCACTGCTCGGGTGCCCTGTTTCGCATTTCCCCTGTCGCCAGTTCCATTCCGCCAGTTTCCTGCCACTGACCGACTGACAGTAAAACCGCCCCAAAATTCACCCACGCCACACCTCGCATTTCCTCCTCCTCCAGTTCACTTTTACACGTTCCCTGCCTCAAATTTCCTTTCCCCTGTCCACTGCCTCAACGTCTCTTTTTGCATTTCTCTGCCTGACAAACCTTCACTTGACTAACAATGTCACACGTGTTTCAAAAAAGAATCCTCGCCCAAAAAAAAATTGGCCCTCTGCCACTTTCACTTGCTTTCACTATGTTCAAAAAATCCAGACAACCCGCTTCCACCTTCTCTGTGCACTGTTGCATGTGCGAGTTCATCCAAAGTTCCTTTCTCCGCGCTCGATCCTTTTCGCCACAATAAAGTTATTTACCCTACCTTTCGCCTTCCTGCGTTCTATCTTTCGCCGCAGTATGTTAGTTGCCCTTATGTGTGCCATGTGTGTGTGTGTTGTGGTTCTGTTCACGTCACACCTTCTTTCTTTACTGGCAAACACGAAATATTAGAACTTCACTGTCTGTCAGCATGTGTCTTCTACGTAGCCGTTGACACCCTGTGCGTCTGTTTTCTTTCTCTTGGGAGTCAGCAAGAATCAAACATGCAAATTCACAGTAGCAACCCTCCTCCTCTCCTTCTCCTCCCCCCGCTCGCCTCTCCATATCCCTCCCCCTCTCTGCCCTGCCTCCCCTCGACAACAACGACCACCCTGCTCCCGTCCCTGCCTCCTCGCACCGCCCCGTTCTTTCCTCCTCGACCTCCCCTGCTTCGCCACAGCGACCGAAACAGACGCTGGGCCCTATCCCCTGCTCCTCCCCTTCTCCTCCTCCCGCTCGCGCCTCTCCACATCCCTCCCCCTCTCTACCCTGCCTCCCCTTCACCACAACGACCACCCCTGCTCCCGTCCCAGCCTTCTCCACTCCTAGACACAGCGACCGAACCACACGCCGAGCCCCCCCGTGCTTTCCGCCTCTACCTACCCGGCTTCGCCCGCGTCCCTGCACCTTCCCAGGGTCGGCACGGGGGCGTAGCCCTTAAATCCGGGCGCCGGCCACGCGCACGTTCCCTTGCCGGAGGCCTTCGGTTGGTAACCGAAGGTTATATACGCTCGCGCCCCCTGCCGCCGACCCTTTTGGTCGACCTCCGCCCGACCCCCGCCCGAATCCGGTCGACAGATTTTTATGTCATTTATATTTTATCTACTAGCATGATTGCGCATGATGTGGAAAACATCGTTTTTTACAGTGTTTCGTGGCCTTCGGCGGAGACGACTTGCGCCTAACAGGGTGCCGGTGGTGTCGGTTATGCGTACCGCGCGGACAGGCTTAATCGACATTTCGTGGGTGTTGGGCACAGAAGTTGCCTAACATATCCCTAACATAGGCCCAAGATAGCCAACATATCCCCAACATAGCCTCCAAGATGGCTCAACATAGGGTCAACATATGCCAACATGGGGCCAACATACGCCAACATAGGCCCAACCTAGGCCAACATAGGCCTAACATAGGCCAACCTAGGCCCAACATAGGCTCAACTTGGGCCCAAGATGTGCCCAACATAGACCACAAGGGCGCAACTTGGCCCAACCTAGGGCCAAGATGCGCACCAGATAGCTTAACTTTGCTCAATATAGGCCCCACCAAGTCTCAAAGAGAGAGAGAGAGAGAGAGAGACAGACAGAGAGAGACAGAGAGAGAGAGAGAGAGAGAGAGAGAGACAGAGAGACAGAGAGAGAGAGAGCGGGGAACCAGCCCTGCACATACCCAAATAGGCCGGCGCCCGGCTGTCAGGCGTAAGTGTCATAAATTCGGGCGCCGGCCACGCGCACGTTCCCTTGCCGGAGGCCTGGTTGGTAACCGAAGGTTATATACGCTCGCGCCCCCTGCCTTTTGTTGGACCCCCGGTATACCCCCGGTCGAATCCGGTCGACAGATTTTTGACAGATTTTTATCTTATTTATATTTTTTCTACCAGCATGATTGCGCATGATGTGGAAAACATCGTTTTTTACAGTGTTTCGTGGCCTTCGGCGGACACGACTTGCGCCTAACAGGGCACCGGTGGTGTCGGTTATGCGAGCCGCGCGGACAGGCTTAATCGACATTTCGTGGGTGTTGGGCACAGAAGTTGCCTAACATCTCCCCAACATAGGCCCAAAATAGCCAACATATCCAACATAGCCTCCAAGATGGCTCAACATAGGGTCAACATATGCCAACATGGGGCCAACATACGCCAACATAGGCCCAACATAGGCCCAACCTAGGCCAACATAGGCCTAACATAGGCCGACCTAGGCCCAACATAGGCTCAACTTGGGCCCAAGATGTGCCCAACAAAGACCACATGGGCTCAACTTGGCCCAACCTAGGGCCAAGATGCGCACCAGATAGCTTAACTTTGCTCAATATAGGCCCCACCAAGTCTCAAAGAGAGACAAAGAGAAAGAGAGAGAGAGAGAGAGAGGGAGAGAGACAGAGAGACAGAGAGAGAGACAGGACCCAGCCCTGCACATACCCAAACCCAAATAGGCCGGCGCCCGGCTGTCAGGCGTAAGCCTCATAAATAATAACTTTCAGCCGGGGATTGTCCAATTTCTTCAATATTGTGAGTAGGCTCAACCTTTCAAAGATCAGGTTGCTTTGCACGGTTGCCGTTGGGATCATCAATTCCCCAGACTGATTGCCCGAAAGAGGTGCGGTGGACGTTGCTACCACATGAAGTCTAAAGCCTCACAGGTCAAACGTCACAGGAATGATACAAGTATATATGGAAACAAGAAACATCAACATCTCATGCAGTTCTTTACCCAACTAGGATGTTTTTGCGTGTTCATTTGTGTTCATCCTTGAAAAGCCAGGGCACTCAACACGTGGAGAGAGAGACACTGGGTGGCCACTGGGTGGCCGGGCCTTTTCCACCCGGCAGTCAAGAGACAGCTCGTCACCCAACTTGGCAGCGCCTTGATATTGGCCTCGATAGGCCGGGGCCGGTCTCTGTGGATATGAGCGACGTGCAAAACCTCTTATGTGTTGTAGTGCGCACTCTTCCCAACGTTATCGTTTCGTTTTTCTGTGAACCTTATCCTTCCTGAGGGTTTGGACACACCTAACAACATGTACTGAAACCTTATCATATTTTTTGAGAGCCTTATGGTTTTTGAAGGCTTCCCTCACTTTACTTACTTCTTTACTGTAGTGATGCCTTCATCGGAGGTTTTGGCAGTTGCTGGAATTTGGAGTGCTCGGAGGAGCTCGGATGCCTGTTCTCGGCACCTCGGAAGTTTCCCTTGCTGGTAGTAACAAGTGCCACGCTAGTAGAAACAAGTGCATCCCTAGTAGTAACAGGTGCCTTACTAGTAGTAACAAGAAGCTTGTTCTTGTTACTACTAGTAAGGCACTTGTTACTACTAGCGATGCACTTGTTTCTACTAGCTTCTTGTTCTCGGCACCTCGGAAGTGTCCCTTAGTTAGATTCAATTGCTGGGAGGGGAGATTAAGGATCACCCAGCGGATGCCATTCTGCTAAGGTACAGGCTCCACCATAGTATTGACTCTACAGTATAGAATAGGTCAGCAATTTATTAAGTTGATAAGATATGTGCCAAAGACTGTGCCAAATCATATGTGGGTGCGGTTCAAAGGGCTTTAGGTCTCAAGGAGCCGCAAGAAGCATAAACAGTTTTACACAGGTCCTGTTTCTCTCTTCTTCATTCTCAACTTCCGTATGTTCAAAGCACATTGCTCCACACTCCAAAACTTCATGGCCTCATGTCACATCATGGACGTGTCGTGTTGATAGAATCACATCATGTCACATCAAAACTTTCTGAAAGCAAGTCTCGGTGGGGGGATCCCCATCCCTCTTCTCCATCAACACCCTGACTGTAAGAGAAAATGCTTGCTGGAAGAGAAACACATCAAAACATCAAACGCATGGGGGGGGCCCTTTACCAGTGTTGTCTGGAATAATTACATAATTATTGGCACCACCTTCTTTCTCGGTCACTCCCTCGACCGGTCCCGCCGGTCCGGAGATCGTCCACCATCGGACGACCGCGCCTGCCATGTTCACCGAGACGGTAGGCTTGGGGCTGAAATCCATGATGGTGATCGTGGTCAAGACATCCAACAGCAACATCCTTGGGGAGACTGAGACTGGCCAGGTCGACCAGAACGGCCCATGCGGGCGGCCCGGCCCGGCCCGTGACGTGGCAGCTGGTTGGACCAGCCATCTATAGAACTTGACATGAATACATCATGTGTGACAGATGCTGAAAGAAACCGTGGAGTCGTCCTCACCAGGTCATTTCAGAACACACTTTCAAGGGTCACTTTAGAACACACGGCAGGAACCGGGACCCAACCACCAGGCAATCTAAGGGGTGGGTGGGGGGCGAGCGAAACTACCGGACAATCTAATGGGTGTCTGGCGGGGAGATGAAAGGGGATTCAACAACCAAAGAATCTAATGAACCGGAGAATCTAATTCGTCGGGTTGAGAGGGTGGCCACAGGCTGTTAAGAGTAGGAACATGGACTCTGCTTCTTTGCCACCGCAGGCCGTCTAAAAGTGCCTGGATTTCACCTGATGGGCGCCGAACAAAGCGCCAACAACCGGTGGCATGTCTTCAGTGAACGGGTGTTTTATATGAAACATGCCACCGGCGACAACCAATCGAGGTGCCCAAAACCACGTTCGGAAACGACGCCTAAAATCGCGTGCGGAAGCGGCCCCCTCACCTCATCACCACCGAGGTTTCGTTGGCTTCCAAAATCAATCACTGATCCAAAAGTAGGCGAGTCACAAAAATTGGAATTAAGGCTAAAACTGAAGAGGCCGTTCCTTGTAAAACAAATGATTCTCCCATGGCAAGTATCTTCCCAGGGTCCTTTGCCGGGCCATCCATGTTTGTATCAGAAGTCGTGCTCACAGAATATTGGTCACTGCCCGGCCAAAGATTCAATGGTTGAGTAGAGTGCCTTGTGTTCCACAGAGGTGTCTCTTGGACAAATACCCAAAAAAACCAGGGTCGATTTGTACATGCTATGTCATGAATTCATTCCTGTCGCAAAACCACGACCAGTCGAGGTTGCATCCTCACTCAGCTTCAAACCTTGTGCTTCAAACCGGGAAGATCCAGGCCGAACGCCCAAGTCTCGTAAATGCTCCATGCATGGTCTCCAGCGCATTGATGTGCGGCTGGCCCACCTGCGAGAAAACGACGGAATTTAGCCAGCAATGCGTCACCCAACAGCGTTAGATTTCGAGAACTGTTCGTCTTTTGATTGCCACTTTGTAGAAAATGGCAGTCCCCCAGTCGTGGGGGGCGGCGAGCAACCGTGTTAAGTGTTAAGTCAAAACGGCGCGGCTTTAGAAAATAGCTGCGGTTTTTTTCCTGGGTGGCATCGATGTGCAAGGTGCGGGGCAATTCCAACAATGCTATTGTAAGAGTGGTTTGATTCACATTCCACTACGCGCTCTATACAACGGCGTAGCAGCATGCACGAACATTTGCAATCAGCTGTTCTTGGAGGCTTCAAAACTTGGAGTGACCACTGATTCATATATCATTTGGTGACCCCCCCTTTCCTCTCACCAGCACGATGAGGAAAGGTAACAAAAAGATAAAAAACAGAAAAAAAGGCAGTTGCGGCTGCTCCACAAAAGCATTATTTACGTTAATATTAGAATAGTCTGGTTCCAAAACCCCCAGAAGCAACTCACCAGTTCCACCCTGCTCTCGCATACTCCAGGATCTTCCAACAATTCTGTCCCTTAGACCATCTGGTCCCTCTGCATCGCCGCCGGCCAGATCCGCCGCCGCAGAACGTGCCGGCCAGATAACGCTCAGGTTCCGCAGCCCAGGTCTGGCGCACCTGCAGGCTGAAGATCATCCGTTTCGGCTCCTTCCCGCTGCAGCGCACTTCTCGAAGCTCCTTCACCCCGAAGCCTCTGGAGGTCGGCCGAAGGTCGGCAAAGGCAAGGAAAAGCCCAAGCACCCTCCAGTACTAGCAGGGTGGTGGAGGCCATTGCTGCTGGGGTGGAGGACGTAGTAGAATGGTAGTCGGATGTGGGGTGGCCATTGCTTGGATGAGGAGACTTGGGCTTGGAAATTCCTTGAAACCTTCGGGTCGTTTGGTCCATCCTTAGCATTCCTTGGCAGCCAAAGCTCAAAGGTTCATGTCCGAATTTAACGCTCAAACGTCCATTCACAGTAATGATAATGACACATCTAGCAAACATTGTACTTGTCAAGGGCCCCTAATGTGGTGCCTCACACACGGCCGCGATCGATTCACTCCGCGTGCTCCCACCCCGCGGTGCTCTTCCCTCGAGGGGCTCACCCGGCCTTTGTGAGGAAACTCCCCCAACTTGGCTCCAACTTTCAAGGGCATTGGCCGGTGCCGCCCTGATGGGCCCCTGGCAGCCGTACTAAGCAGTACTTCTTGGTGGAATCTCAATTGGGTGGTGTCAATGAGAGTGTCATGTGGTGTCTGCCCAGGTTCTGCTGGGAAGCGCATGCTTCTGTTTCAGAGCGTAGGGTGGATCATGTTTGGTGATATTGGGTCCTGAAAGGCATACAGTAAAAACTTCTTGTGTGGATGCTGTTTTGTCTGTTTTTGAATGAGGGTGCAGCTGAGAAAACCACCAGGTCGCTTGGTACTTCTAGGTTCCATGGTCCACACTTCTCCAGCAACACAGCATTGACAACACCCATTTCCAGAAATAATGACACCTCATGTGGTTCCTGTTTCTGTTGGAGTCGACCGAGTGAATTTCGGAGGCTTCAGAAAGGATGATGATTATGACTTGTTCACCTCATGGCATTCATCAGGTGTTAGCCATCTCTGGTGCGCACAGCACTTACTGGCTCACGACTCTATGAGCCTCGGCCGGCAGGCAGGTTTCCATGCACATAAATGTTTGACCACTACGAACGAATCTTCGTTGTCTGTGCTTGGCACCTCACCATCCCGTTGATGCACATCCATGTCCATGACATTGCATAACAAATAATCGAAACATTTCGACACAATCGTGCAAGGGTCTCAAGGGCATCTCAAGTGATCTCTGGTGTTCCAAACTTTCTCTCCATCTTGCAATCACAACTCCCCGCTGCTCGACCACTCTGTCTGCGAGCGACTCTCGTCTGGGCCGACCGACTTGATGTGTGCGATCCCCAAATGCACCTGCGGATGCGTGACAAGGGTCGATGGAACAGTTCGGCAAACCAAATGCCCTCATGTTACTTCTCATGTTCTCTTCACTGGGAGCGCCAGGCCCCTGATTCTTGGTCATGTTGACTTCCTAGTGCAGACTGAGGCACCCTTCGCTTGGCCCAAGTCACCTGGAGACAGCAAAATCCTCACGAGCAACGAGCAAAAGCGCTGTCTCCGCGGCCGTTGCTTTCGATCACCACGAACAACGCCGCCACCACGGTTTCCGATTCCGAGCTCATCAAGACGAAGACGGTGCCGCCGTCTTGGAGTTTTGAACACCAGCGACACGTGGTTTTACCAGTTCATGTTGAATGGATTTGGATGTTTCGGATGGATTTCCTCATGTTCACCAGTTTGCATGAGGCGTGACGCGATGGGAAGAATTGCTCTTCCCACGACAAACCCTTTCCGAAAAAACCTGCCCCAATTGATTGGGCCCAATCCATCCTTGAAAAACATGCTGCCAAATCAACTTGGATCTTTTTTGGCGACGCCGAAGAGAGTCCTCCGCATGAAAATACTTTTCTCTCCCGAATGGTGGTGGGGACCTGGGGGTCTTGGCTGGAGTAATTGGAATTCAGGGCATAGATGCCTGACTTTGGTGGGTAGTTTTCAAATGTGTTCAGCCGTTTTCGGTATTGGTTCACACCACTAAAACAAGCTAAAACACAAAGGGCACCACCTGGGAAAAAGGGAAGGCAGGCAACTTATTTTCCCACTACAGTATATGCCCCAGGCGTGTACCTGCACCTGCCCATGCTTTGCTACACATTCGAAAAAATACCTACAAGATCCTACAAGCAAGTTTAAGTATATATTATATATATATATACATTATACATCTTGGGTCTATCTTGATACCTGTAACCGTGGATGATGATGGCTAGTAAAGACTAGTTCAAAAACTGTAATAATTGCTGACTGACTCTGCCAGGTAAGAACGGACAAACCCAACACATATCCACCAGAGTGTTTAGGTGTTGCTCCTCGTGTGTCTGTTTCGGTGTTTCTCCAACCCCAGGGCCCCAGTACCACCCAGCGCATTGGCTGCCAAGTCTCCCACCCACCCAGACCCGACTGTGACACTCACTCCCATCTCCTCCTCGAAAGAAATGCTGAGACTCGTGGAGGACTGGGAGGCTCGAGGTCTCACTGGACGACACCTGGTCTCACTGGATGACACCCATTTTGGGTGGAGACCAACTGGATGATTCATATCTGGCTTCCGATGACTCCGTGATTCTTCACGAGCAAAAAACCAGCAGGGAGTCCGAGCCGGAAGACTCCTAAATTTCCCGCTACACATTCTTTAGCATACCTCCATGAACCATCTTCTGTTAGGGCTACAGTCGGATGGCTTTCCTTCACCACCACCCCCCAGGGAACCCGTGTTGGCTTCGAACGCAGCACGGGGGCCGCGCAGCACGCGCACTGCACCACAGGTGCTTGGACCAACTCTGGGCCTCTATTTTGCAGAAGTAGACGAAGTAGACCCAAGTCAAACATATCTCAGATATAATTCAATGACCATGTATCCTCTATACTCTGCCAGTCCACTGCATCACTGCATCCACAGTGCATCCGCCCATGGCAGCCCTTGGCCTGAATCCACAGCCCGGAGGGCAAATCCACCTGGTGAGCAGAGAGGGTGGAGGGACACGGTGGAGGGACACGGTGCCGACACAAAGAAGAGAGAATACAACGACATGACGCCTTTCTGGTGAGATTTGACAATGCTATGGACAGTATCAGTTATCAAATGATCATAAATCATCTCTATAGACTTGTGGAGTTGTGGGTGGCCAAAGCATCCTTTATTCAATTTATTCGCTTTGCACGGTGTCTTCCTTATCCCAGCCACTGAATTATCCCAGCCACTGAAGGAGACCATGACATCATGGATGGATTTAGGATGCTGGGTTCTCAACCCTGAGTCAATCTCTGTAAGAACATGAGCAGCTTCGCTGTGTCACCAGAAGTTCTTCACTGTTCCCTCACTTCTTCGCGGCCTCAAGAGTCCCCAAGCAGAAGACCCCACTTCACCTGGCCCCACCGTCACCCCCCAGCCCCGACCGGTGAAGATGGTCTCACCTGGAGAAGGATCCGTGGGTTCAAGGAGAACTCCACCAGGGCGGTGTCCTATGAGCCGCGCCGCACGTGGCGGAACGACGGTGTCGGAGTGGTCAACCAACATTCAGTGAGAGCAGGAAGAGAGGGGCTGACACGAGACAGATTGACCAGAATCAATCGGCAATTCAAATTTAGGAAGTTCCACGTTTGAAGGCAAACACTATAACATTGTTGTAAAACGCCAGTGAACATGAGTGAACTTGAATCAGAAAACTAAGTATATAACATCTAAAACCAACCAACAGTAAGCCGCACCTATGCATGACCTATTGCTGATTCCTGTGACTTTTTGCCATGACTGTTCTTGATACCGTTTTTTCGTACCTATGCTATATGTAACCGATATGATTGCACCATTTTGCGCACAAATAGGCCGTCGATGGGTGCTTTGTTTATAATGCCTTGTGTGAACACCACCAACAAGGATGTTAGCCCTTTGGAGTTCAGGACATTTGTTTCGACAGCGTCATTGTCTCTGCGGCCAGTGTCTCACCGAGGAAGGCATCGCACGCCTCTTTGAGATTTGCGATGTTGAGGTTCTTGAAGGCTTGTTGCTGTCGGTGCTTCTTCTTCCACAAGGCCTGGTGGATGTCGCTTCCATCGGCGACACGAATCAAATTGATGTTTGTTGGGCCTCTCACACAGACAACAACGTGTCTATCTAGAGTCTATCGGTCCAACTGTCCAAACACAAAGACTTGTGGTTTTCCAAGAAGCTGGTGCCTTGTTCAAGGCACGTCCATACACCCATATCATATTGCTCGCAGCCTAGCCAGCAATAGCAATATAATGATAGCTCATAGTTCTGTCCACAAAATGAATGACAAATAGACCGCAAAGACAATGTGTCACAGCATCATACTTTCACGCAATGTGTCGCTTCTTCGATTCCTTGTCAAGGCTTACTGTTTGGTGTTTGTCAAGGCGTTTTCCACCCACCGACGTGCTGCATCCCGCCCTCCAACAAACACACCGACGTGCTGCAAGAGTGGAATGCGTCTGAAAACTCCTCAAGGCCCAGAGGTTGTCCAAATCCACTCGGCCCAGGTGCATGGGGTAGGTATCTGGGTACATATCAAGAGCAGCCTTTGGATCATTTTGAGAGGCGCAGCTTTCCTATTTAATGCATTTGAATTGCACGGGTTTGGGTGTTGGGGCTGTTGCAGGCTGCAGGGAGCTCGCGAAAAAAACAGAACATCGTCCATGAAAACCACCTCCGAGAACACCAGGAGTCCATGGGTTCCAACACCTGCGAGGTGTTCGTCCCAGTGAAAAAACCGCCACGCCTCAGGTGTGAACTCTGTCATGGATGATGCGTCAATGGAGGCAACCTCACAACGGCATGGCAATCGGAAGGCTTGGACAAGTCACGCAGGTCACACGGCAAGTGGTTGCAAACCTCCCCAAGTGGGCCACTTCGAGTGCGGGTAGACACATGTAGACACCAGCCAGGTGACCATTCCAAGTAACGACGGTCTGGGTGGCCTTGCCATCGCCAAAGTCCTCTGCAAGCACCAACGATGTTTGGGAGGATACATCTTCAAAAGGAGCCCGCCTTTGCTTTCGGTATCTTTCATTGTCACAACTGGCCACTGGGTCCTTCACAGTGCTGAAGGCCAAATTTCCGTCCAGACCAAACTGAATTGAACAGCCAGGGCTTTGTTGTGGTCGCATTTCTGTGGAGGAGGCTTCTCGCAATGTTAGCAGTGTGGTAAACTCTCCTGATGATGGTGTACACTCAAATGGCACCACAGTAGATGGCACTAGAAGGGGAATCTGCAATTACTGCACTGGTTGAATGCTAACAGCTAACAAGACTATTATATATATTATACACTGGTTAACTACTGGCTAATCATAACGAAACATCAAGTACTGATTGTCACCTTCCATGGTGTGGAGACGATCAAAGGAACAGGAAAGAAAATTCGGTAATATTCTGAATATGAACCATCAAAAACAACCATCTTTGATACATTTAATTTGAGGAGTATCAAAGATCTTGTCAAACATTTGTCTATGGAACTTGCCCTCTGCAACATCGGCAGTTTCAAGAGTTGCGTTTCTAAAGCTGTGAGGAGATGGCCCATCTGAGTTGAGGATGGATGAGACTCAGCCCTGGTTGCGAAACATGACCCTCCCCAGCGGCCGGGCCATCTTGCACTTGGGGATGCCGTGGCAAAAGCCTTGGCAAATGTTTGGATATTTGGTGCTTTCTTGACTCCATACTGGTGAGTGGATTCTGAAGGTGCTGTTGCATCAGGTCTGCACCTGCAAAACCTGCAAACCAAACCTCAGCAGCCAGTCATCAGTGTCGCTAGCCGGTAGGGTTCAAGTCAAAAATAATCTGCTGCTCCTGCACCTACATGAGGGACTAAGTGCGTGCATTCCCTCCCAAAAGTTAAAGGACCAAACAACCCATGCTTTGTGCTTCTCAATAACACATGGAAGCACAAATGAAAGGAAAAGTAATTACGACGGATCAGTGTAATTAGCTGGACGATGAGCGATGATGTGAAGTAACATGGTGAACTGAGTGAGTGAGGGACTGAGGGAGTACATGCATGCGTGCGTGACTGAGTAAGATTGAGTGAGAGTGAGAAAACCGTCCAAGTTACCAGCTACTGCAGTTGGCGACAATGGCATGTCAGCAGAGCCTCCCATTCCTCTAAGAGTGGGCAAAACGCAGGCAAAGGCAAGGACAACAACCCGCAGTGCGCAAGCGAGTAAGTGAGTGAGTGTAAATGGGTGTGCAAAGAGAGAGTGTGAAAGCGAGTGCAAGTGAGTGCAAGTAAATGCAAGTCAGTGCAAGTGAGTGCAAGTGAGTGCAAGTGAGTGAAAGTGAGTGAAAGTGAGTGAAAGTGAGTGAAAGTGAGTGAAAGTGAGTGA